TCCCATCCATACAGCACGAGCTGTGCTGGGAGCCATGCCCAGGCCAAGGGCTCACAGCTGGATGCCGGCAAGGGGCATGGTGCCACCCAGGCAAGGTGTTAGTGGGGGCTGTGAATGCCTGGAGCAAGCGGCTGAGCCTGTACCCGAGCCAGGACAGTGTCCTGGTGAGTCCCGTGCTGGCCAGTCCTCCCCAGCTGATTTCTGCACGCAGCCAGCCCCGGCACTGGGCAGGGCTCGTATCTTGTGCCTGAGCTCGCAGCCATGGCCTCGGTTCTGGCAGGGGGTCAGAGGTGGCACAGAGCAGGCAATCCAACATCGCCTCTGCCTCGAGTCCTTACTAAGAAAACACAGGCAGGAGAAGGAAGGAGGTTCCAGAGGCTAAGGACTTGGACAAAGCCCGCTTCCTTTATGCCCGTGATGTCGTAACACTGCCTTGACCAGGGCCCAGCTATAAAGCAAGCCAGGAGAGGAAAGCCCAGAGTTGCATCTGCCATCACGGGGGGACGGGGACCCGGTGGCTCAGGATGTGCTGTGCAGTGCGTGGGGCGTGGGTGTGTGCAGCCCGGCGGCTCGGGGGGACAAGCCCCCAGCCAGGGCCAGGAGCGGCCACCCCATCCTTCCCCGGAGCCCTCTCCAGCTCCACCTCCCCGGAGCAGGGCTCCATTCTCAGGGAGCATTTTGGGGGTCCCGGGGTTTTTTTGTGATTTAAGCCTTGTTGTGGTATTTGTTTGGAGGCTGGGAAGTTGTGTGTCAGGTGACTCAGCAGTCGCCATGGCAACGAGCATCGGTTAATGAACAGAGGGAGTAAAGGAGCCAAAATAAATGTCAGAGCGTGAAATAGATGCAGTGGAGCCGGGCAGGCAGCGGGGCTGCCCCTCCTGCCTGCCCCCTCCCCGCGGGGGGGGGGGGGGGGGGGGGGGGGGGCGGGGGGGGGGGGGGGCCCCCCCCCCCCCCCCCCCCCCCCCCCCGGGGGGGGGGGGGGGGGCAGTGGTGCTGCCCTGCCTCTCCCTGTCGGGCTGGGGCTCCCTTTGCCTTGGAGGGGGGGGACAGATTTTGTTAAACCGCTGGCAAGGTGCAGGGCGAAGGACTGACGAGCGAGCAGCATGGCGAGCCCTGGCTGTGCTGCTTCTAAACGTGCAGCCCCCGGCCCTGCTGGGCCACGTGTGGGTTGTCCTCGTCCACCGGGCAGCTAGAGCCTGGCTGCCTGCAGGGACACGATGTTCTGCGCCCACCGCAGTGTCGGAGCAATCTGCAAACGTTAGCGATGCTGCCATGCTTTCTCCCTCCTGCCTCTCTCGGCCGTGCCTGCCGGGGCTGCTCAGTGCTTCCCTCCACAGCAGGAGGGAGTTGGTGTTGGGACCTGCAGCAGCAACACTGAGCAAAGGCTCTGCCCCTGCCCTGAGAAAGTCACTTGATTTTTTAAAAAATTTTTTTCTTCTATCCTATCTCTGTTGCAAAGGAGGTGTTCGGGTGGGACAGGCAGGGCTGAGGGAAGCAGAGAGGTTACAGATCCCGGTGGGCAGATGCAGCGCAGCTGCGTGCGGTCCCGGCTGCTGCGGAGGGAGGGAGGGATGGACGGACGAGCATCGCACCCCGGGTGAGCCCTGTGCCCCGGCCCTGCCAGCCCGCAGCCAGCGGAGCGGGGAGGTGTTTGCATCTGAACAGGGCATCTCATGCACTTGCAGGTGCCTCCTGCTCCAAGGCTTGCCCTCGTCCCTCATCGTCATAGGTTTACCTTAGACGTTGTGTATGCCAGAAGCAAGGCCCCTGGGGGTCCTGCCTTGTCTGGCCACTGCTCAGGACAGGGGGCTGCCAGCCTCTCCAGCCCAGCACTGGGTTTCGGTGGGGGCTCAGTGGCACAGCAGGCCTCAGAGAACTTCAAAGAGATTGAGCCAAAGAAAATGAGTATTCTTGTTTGCACACTGTGCTGATGGGCTGACTTGGACTCTAAAGTCCTTTCCCACGTGGCACCAAGGGAAAGTTTCCACTCACTGATCAGATGACGAACACTGGCCCTGCACCCCTGCCCGGGAGGTTGCTGCAGAGACAGACGTTCCTGTGCTGCCTGGGAGTCGGTGCCTCTGGAGAAGCTCTTGCAAAGTCCTGCATGCAGCGCGGGCATCCCTGGCTGACAGCAGCTTTGCACCCATTAAAAGTCGGAGAGGGCAGATCTATCCCACCGGCAGCTCTGGGGTGCGTGGGGCAGAGCTCTGCTGGCAGGTACAGGGAGAAGGTCAGAGAAGGTGGGTGGAAACCCAAAAGCTGAGAGGAGGGGGAGGAGAGCTGTGCTGTGCAGCTGCCATCGTCCCCGTGCCCAGTGCCTCCTCAGCCCTGTTCATGGCACCTGTTCTCAGCCTCCCCTTCGCCCGCAGTTCCCAAAGCAACGGGAGCAGGCGGTTCTCCCTCAGATGCCGTGTCTCCCGCTTGGATGACAGCTTGCCACCTCCAGAGCTTCATCTCCAGGCTTTAATTGATGCCTGTCACGATGCTCGGCTCCCCCATGCCGCTGTGCGGGACACTGTGCAGGTTGGCTTCTCTTGCCTTGAGCCCTGTCCCCTGGTGACACGTCCTTTCTGGTCCCATGGGAGAGGGGACAGAGCCAGCTTGACCTGGCCACGTCCTCCAGCACTGGTGTTGCAAGGAGGCTGCCCTTCCTGTAGGGAGACGCTGCAGGAATTCCTCCTACCTTGCCCTGCCCCTTGTCACTCTGGAGAAGTCACACTCTGTGCCTCAGTTTCCCCATTTATAACATCAAGGGCAGCATTTGTTGGCACTGCAGAGGAAGCATCGTGCACACTCTTGCATTAGAGTTTGCTGCTTGCTTTGGAGAAGACAGCTCTGTGAATCCTGCAGACAAAGCGTCTACTGCCGCCCCAGGCCCTGAGGAGCCGTGTTCCTGTCCAACACCGTGGCACGAGCTGAGCTCTGAGCCGTCCCCAGCAGATATCGAGTGCGGCCCTCAGTGTCTTGGCGGGCTGCCATGAGGAGCACGCTCGCAGCATCCACAGGGGATGACGGGCTGCATCCATCACAACAAATCCATAAGCGCAACTGGGCATAGCCAGTATTTTTTTTTTTATTTTTTAATGCCTTTAATTTCTCTCTGCCTGTCCATCAGTAGCACATGGACCAGACTGCTGGGGCTGGTGGGTGGATGAGCAGAAGAGGTGAGAGCCCGTTCACAGCCAGTCCCTCCTCCAGGCTGTCCCATAAACACATCTGAACCATAAAGCTCTGCCCCTCTGTGGACACGGCTGTGTTGCCCTGTTCTGGCCCCATATCCACGTCTTGCAGCGTGTAACTGAGTCCCCACTACATCACCTGCCTGAGCCTGACTCGTCCTTGGCTTTTTCCTCTCATGGCACAATTGCACAGCTTTGGCACAGGAGAGAGCTGAGCCCGAAAGCGCAGCAAGGAGAAAGCCAAAGCAAACAGGCAGGCGTTTAAAGGCGAAATGCGTTTGTTTTGCTTCAGAGGCAGGAGGGAAAAAAAGCCACAGAAAAAGCGCATTTTTTTCCCAAATGCTAAGTGGGAGGCCAGCAGATGCCAGAGCATCTGCCTCCTTCCCCAGGCCTTCCAGGTGGTGTTGCCAGTGCTCACTGCAGTGGGGCTGCTCTCGCCCCCACTCCCAAGTTGTGCCGTGGGGACCCACGAGCAGGAGGGGAAAGGCAGCATGCATGGAGCTCCCGGTGGGACCGGGGCTCCTGAGGGGCTGTGCCACGGGGTGGGTGGCACTCCTGCCCATGCCAAGCTCAGCTGCGATGTCCGCCCGTGGTACTGGGTGCTTATCCACGGTTGTGCATGAGGGTGCACGTGTGTGTGTGCTGTGGGAGATGCATGAAAGCAGGCTGGAAATGGGGTACGGATGGGTCGTCTTGATGACTCTGCCTTCTCTGGCCTCTGCCCCAGCTGCCTGTGTCCCAGGCATGAAGAAGGGCTGAGAAGCAGCAGGAAAGGCTAAGCAGGCTAGAAACTTTTTGTAGTCATTTAAATGAACTCACTTGTGCCTCCAAAAACATCACATCTCAGAAGCTAAGCTGCAGCCCAGATGTTACTTTAGCAAACGTGCTGAGGATCCTCATCTGTGCGGCAGGCTCTGCCCTGCATTTGTAGGTCAGCAGTAAATCAAAGCTTTCATACAGCCAAGGGGCCGGGGCAGAGGAGACAAGCTGGGAGGACCAGGCTGGTCTCTTGATGCTGCGGAGCCCTGGGCTGGGGGCTCTGCTCAAGCAGCTGCTCTGACCCCAGTGCCGTTGT